GTGTGATGCACATGTTGGTGAATGTATTTTTTTGATTAAATTTAATAAAATAAATAAATTCATTTATTAAATATATCACTGCAGGAACGAAAAAAAATGTTGAACAAATGCGTTCCTAATATATTTTTTAAAAACAATAACACAATGATGTCCTTATATAAAATGAATGAAATACCCAATTAAAAATATATGAAAAATGAGTCACTCATTAAAAAAATAAAAAAATAAAAAACTTTAAATAACTAAATAAAGACCTAATGTACATTATAGATGCATTAGTTCTTTTATTTATTTATGTTACATGATGATTCAAGAGTAAAATAACACAATGATGTCCTTATATAAAATGAACGGAATATCCAAATAAAAATATATGAAAAATGAGTCACTCATGAAAAAAAAAAGAAAAAAAAACTCTAAATAACTAAATAAGGACCTAATGTACATTATAGATGCATTAGTTCTTTTATTTATTTATGTTACATGATGATTCAAGAGTAATTTTCTTTTATTTTGGTTTTAACGTTTTTATAAGAAATGTTAGCATACATAATGTTGGTGATATTATGGATGAGCTGGTTTGGCACGCGAGAAGTCCCCTTGCATTGCAGCCGCATTTCTGGATTGCATGGTCCCTTCTTTCAGCTTTAACTTTAGTTTTTTTGGCACGTGTATAGTTGTGATCATATGTTAGTATTGTGTGGTTGGGATAGTTGTTGTTCTAGGGTTTTCGTGCTATAACTAAACATTGTATGACATTGTTGCTGTAGAAATGAAGCTATCTTCTTGAGTTTACTATTACATTAGTGGCCTCGGTTTTCATCCTTTCCTTCTTCATGAATGTTTCAGCTTCTTTCTTGTTATTCTATCATGGTATCAGAGCAGGTTGATCCTGTCTCTGATCCATTTTTCAGTTTTTTCCCTTGATTTTAAGTCTCCTCGAAAATGGTTGAATCTACCTCTTCAACATCAAGCCACACAACTTCAGGTTCTTCACAGCTGCAAGTCATTTATCCTCAAATTCAACTCTTGACTATTGAGTTGGACGAAAGTAATTACTTGATTTGGAAACAACAAGCCTTGATCTCTATCAGAGGCCATAGCCTTGAGCACTTTATTAATTCTTGGAGGACAAGAGCCAATTCAGTTCATTGAGCAAGAAGGAAGTCAAGTTCTCAACCCTGAGTTCACTACCTATCAAAGGCAAGACCAGATCTTGGCCTCTTGGCTCCTTTTCTCTCTTTCAGAAGGGCTTCTGATGCAGATGGTAGGTCTTCAAACCTCTAAGGAAATCTAGAATGCTCTATCAACAAATTTTGTCAGTCAATCCTTGGCTAAACAGATGCAATACATGCTTCAACTACAAGCAATAAGAAAGGGAGTCTCAGTATGAGAGCGTTTTTAAACAAATTGAAAAGTTGTTTTGATATGTTGGTATCTGTAGGAGCTAAAGTGTCTGAGAAATATCAAATCCTACACATCATCTCAGCCCTTGGAAATGAGTATGATCCAGTCATGGTAACAGCCACCTCTAGAATGGACACTTGGACTGTTATGGATGTGCAAACATTGTTGTTGAGTTATGAATCTAGGTTGGAGGCAAGTGGTATGATCAACAGCAACACTAGATCTGGAAACATAAACCCAGATGGACCTCAACCATCACCGAATTTTGCTCACAATGCAAACATAGAGAATTTTCATAACAACAACCAAAATTCTCAAAGAGGAAGAGGTAGATCTATAGGTGGATATAGAGGACGAGTAGGCCGTTTTCAAGGACCAAGACCCGTTTGCCAAGTGTGTTGGATCTCTAGTCACACAGTTGATAAGTGTTGGTACAGATTTACCTAATTCGAGAGTAATTGAAAGCAAGTAACTAAAAAAACACTTAAAAACACATAAAATAACAATAAAAACATACAAAACATGAACGTAATTGAAAGCAAGTAAGCTAATTCGAGAGCAAGAAGAACCTCAATTCGCAATAAAAAGGACAAGAAAAGAAAATAAGTAAGAACACCAAAATCTGAGTTTGAAAGAAAGCACTCAAAGGTTCGAGAACATACAATCAAACAATCGTTACTCGCGATGAACAAATCGAGATATCAATCGATATTCACTATGCAATCAACAACAAAATTACATAGTCCATATTCTCCAAGGATGATAGTCTATTTTACTCATGAAATTAAGTTGCCAACTTTACTCAAGAAAATATCTTGAAAATTTAACTAACCAAAGTCGCACCCACAAGTAAAAATAAATTGATTTTCAAGCATCTTTTGCATTACAATGTTGGGAAAATTTCACAATTAGTCCCACAGATATAGAGGGGTAACATTTTTTGTCCCGACGGAATGCACAAAATATGAATAGTCCCACAGCTTTTAAAAAATGATCAAAAGTAGGACTTTTTCGCCGAATTTACTATTTTCGGCCCGGAGCGCCACGTGGCATACACGTGGCGCACACGTGGCGTACACGTGGCGCACATGTGGCTTATTTTTTACACGCTGGCATCCGACGTAGATAGTAAAAAATTCAAAACTAGTCCCACAAGTATAGAGAAGTGACATTTTTGGTCCCGATGGAATGCAGAAATTCAAAATTAGTCCCACAACTTGTAAAAAAATATGAACACGTCGGATGCCACGTGGCGTTCCAGGCCGAAAATAGTAAATCCGGCGAAAAAGTCCTACTTTTTGATCATTTTTTAAAAGATGTGGGACTATTCATATTTTCTGCATTCCGTCGGGACCAAAATTGTCACCCCCTATACTTGTGGGACTAATTTTGAAATTTTCCCTTACAATGTTCATACCACTACCAAGTTTGCGGAATGTATTTGAAGAACCAGTAAGTAATACCCAGACTACGCCTAGTTTTGTTTCTCATCTTGCTAGTCCTGTTTGTTGGTTCGTTTCAACCTAACTGTACCGATTAAGTTTCTTATCGCTGCCCACAAACATATTTATATGAGTGTGTGTTTATCAAATGTTAAAAAACACAAGTTGTAACTGGTAGCTCGAATGTCACAATATCCGATGTGGATGTGACTGGAAATTAACTAACTTCTTTATAGAATAAAGATATTTAATAGCAAGCAATTTCTCAGCTAGAATCAAAAACAGAAGTAGACCTAAAAGCCAAATCATAACCCACGATCAGATGTCGTGAAAGAAGCCCTGTTAAGTAAAGCGTTGACCGGAATTATTTATTGCTAATTATTTTAATCTAAAATCCATTACTTTACTATCTATTAGATATCTCTAATTACTATTAGTTAGTTGATTAGGACATGAAGGCAAGATTATTAATCTCAATATCAATATTTTTCTAATGCCAAGAGTACAGCCATTGGTGGGCAAAAATTTAAAATTGATCCTATAATTTTGCCACAATTCAAAAACCTACCCCATAATTGACTACTTTTAATTGGGGTCTTATAATTTGTCGAATTCATCATTTTTGGTCTTTTTTTATCCGCACCCTGGATTAAAAAAAAAAAGTGACGTGGCGTGACATGACAATTTTTTATCTGACATGGCGTGACGTGGAGGCTTCATTTGTATTTAATAATTTAACTATGCCATGTAGGAATAATTATACCCAAGTGGAAATAAAAAAATTAAAATTAAAACTTAAAAACAGAAAATTAAAACTAGGTGAAATTTAAAACCCCAAAAAACAGAATATTAAAACCAAAAACAAAACATTAAAACAAAAAAAAAAGAAATAAAAAAAAAGTGGATCGCAGAATTCGTTTCCCCCATCCCAACGTCAACACAACCATCCCGGCATCCAACACCACCTTCTGCCCGCTGCCGGACTCAACATACAGACCATAGCCCAGCAGCTCATGGCGTCCAACACCACCTTCTGCCCGTCGCCGGAATTCCATTATACAGACCATAGCCCAGCAGCTCACGTGCACGCCCGCAGCCGGCGACATCTGGGCAAAGCCATCCGTCGACTGCACATCCCTTGTGCGAGAGCCCGTCTACCAGCCGCTCGTTTAGCGTCCAGCAACAACGCCTCCACCGCCGCGGTCAAGGTCGTCATTTTCAAGAGCTTCGATGTGTTCTCCTTGATACCCGCTGGAAAAACGGGTTGCCGTAAAATTCGTCGGATCTGGAGATGGTGGACATCGTTGGGTGCATGACGATGTGAGGAATACAGAGGTGTCCTTGGATTTCGGTGGGTCGCGGTAAATCGCCGAAAAATTGATGAAGAAAACCGAATTTTGACCGGGTTTTTTAGATCTAAACACTTTGACCAGAGCAATCAACGGCCTTACAAGTGGAATTTTGCCGAAAATTTTAGGAGGTGAACAAGGACGAGAAGAACTTCAAGATGATATTAAAAAAAAAAAGTCGGATGTGATCGGCCGGCGGCGGCGAAGGAGGAGGAGGAAGCAGATGAATAAACAATACATAAACTGATGTGGATTTTTTAATTTTAAGTAAAAATTCATAATCTTGCCACATAAACTTTCGTCACGCCACGTCAGATTTAAAAAATGCCACGTCACTTTTTTATCTGGGGTGCGGACCAAAAATGATGAAAGACAAATTATAAGACCCTAATTGAAAGTAGTCAATGACGGGATGGATTTTTAGATTGTGACAAAATTATAGGAACAATTTTAAAATTTGTCGTCATGGGTGGTACTGCAACTGTCCACTTAATCACGAGATAGCTAAATTCATCATTTATCAATAATTAATCATCAATCTTGCTTTATTTGATCCCAGTCATGAATTGGAACACACTAATAATTTTAGTCTTGTCACAAGCATGTGTAGGGTCTGATGCTGCAGCTGTTAATTTGTCTGGATTAGGAGAAAAAAAGTAATAAATAAAGGCCACTGGTCTAATTTGTACTAAAAACCCATTTTTTTTTCTCAAAAGAAAATATGTAACCTTTTCAGATTTATTTGTCTCAATGGTGCCTGATGAGCTGCACACCTGCAACAATTATATATATAAACCCCATGCTGTAACATCTTCAATAATTCATTTCATTCATTCATTGTATTTTGTCGCCCGCTTGCTTATATTTTACATGTTTTTTCTTTTCTCTTTCACATCAAATTAATTTGTTATATAATCTTCACCCTCAAAAAACCATACCACAAGGAACCTTGAGATATGGAAGCCAAGCCAATAACCAAACAAGCAAATGATGACGAGTATTTGCGTGCGAAATCCGAGATTTGGTCGTACGTTTTCGGCTTCACCCCAATGGCGGTCGTGAAATGTGCCATCGAGCTCCGAATTGCCGACACTTTGGAATCCCACGGCGGCTCCATGACAATCTCCGACCTATCCGCCGCCCTCGGGTGCTCCCCTCCCATTCTTGGCCGAATCATGCGATACTTAGCCCATCGAGGCTTTTTCAAGCAGACCCGAAAGCTCGACGACCCACCCGAAAAAATTTACTATGCCCAAACTGCCCTTTCGCGCATGCTGATGAAAGACTCGGACGACAGCATGATAGCCTTCGTCATGTTCGAGAGCAGTCCCGTGATGCTTGCCCCGTGGCACAAGCTGAGCGCGCGGGCCCGCGAGGATGGTGTGGGCTCGGCTTTCGAGGCGGCGCACGTTGAGGACATTTGGAGTTACGCGGCCAAGAATCCCGAGCACAGCAAGCTGATGGACGACGCCATGTCGTCCCACGCCAGGGTGGCAGTGTCGGAGATTGTGGATCAATACCCGGCGGCTTTCGAAGGCGTGCGCACGTTGGTGGACGTTGGGGGTGGTGATGGGACGGCCCTTCGTACTCTGGTGAAGTTGTGTCCTTGGGTTCGTGGGATTAACTTCGATCTTCCGCACGTGGTGTCCGTGGCACCGCGGAGCGACGGTGTCGATCATGTCGAGGGCGACATGTTCGAGAAGGTTCCGGAGGCCGATGCGTGTTTTCTCATGGTGAGTGTTTTGTTGTACGACTAAGTCATTTTTTCGAAAAAAATGTCCATCATATAGTGTGTTGCCAAGAATGGTCCACTAAATTGTCAATTAGCCAACATGGTGTACTAAAAATGACAACTAAAAATAATCGCTTTTAATACACTATGTAGTTGGTTACTGTGTGAATTTTGATTAAAGTGTGGATCATTCTTGATGTTGCTATATATTATGGACCTTTTTAAAAAATGGTCTGGACCATTTTTTAAATTTTGCGTTTTACTGTGAAATGTCATACTAGTACAACACCCATGTATTACATGTGTGGGGACGGTGTCTCATCCCGGACCGTTCATGGACCAATTCATAAAAGTGGGATCGGTATCCGGACAAGTCAAATCCAGGACTGTCCCGGACCGCGCCCACCCCTACCATAAATAATCAACATATTTATAGATAATCCGAACCTAAATGTTTTTGGATTGGAAGTAAATTAAATCTATCCAACACTAATAACGAAACATGTAATTTTGCCACATAGGATCTCGAAGCATGTGAGCTTGTCACATAGGCTCAGCACATTCTGAATTAATATATATATATATATATATATATATATATATATATATATATATATAAGGGGGATTTTTATTTATATGCTGACTTACTAAACTTACTAACTTATGCAGTGGGTGCTGCATGATTGGAGTGACGATGAGTGCATACAGATACTGAAAAATTGTCGGGAAGCTGTCCCGAAGGATACTGGGAAAGTGATGATTGCCGAGGCAGTGATCAATGAAGGAGGAGAAAAGGAAGAAGACGAGCATATGTACGCGGACGTTCGTCTAGCGTTGGACATGGTGATGTTGGCCCACACGGAGAAAGGATATGAGAGGACTATTAAAGAATGGGATCACGTAATCAAAGCAGCTGGCTTCACAAAGTACACGGTGAGGCACATTCATGCCATTGTGTCCGTGATTGAGGCCTACCCATGACTTGATTTTACAATTATCATGCCTTTTTAATTTATCATCCTTTTCAAATAATAAGCTGTGTCAAATTCGGTGCATTCGATTTGATTCTGCACCATTCGCCGAGTATTTTGCAATTTAATCAACGCGCAAATGCATAGATAATTATGACACGGGTGTATGTTTGATCTAATATTGCAGCCGCGTGATTTGGTTTCACAAAGTGCTTTACTGCTTTAATTCTCACTAGTGTTTAGCATAGTTCTGAAAACCGGAACGGACCGGCCGGTTCGACCGGTTCAACCGAGAACCGACCAACACAGCGGTTCGGTTTCAAGTATAAAACCGCTTAGCTTAAAAACCGTTTACAAACCGTTCAAACCGGTTAAAAACCGGACAAACCGGAAAACCGGGAACGGTTCACTGGCCGAACGATTCAAATTTGTACTTTAAAGTTGGACTGCAATGTAGATATTTGGACTGCAATGAACAAGCCCAATGTGATGCAGCCCATGAACTTTTAATTTTTAACTAAATGCTGGCTCACCACTTGGTTTTCCGCGAGTGAGGACTGGCCACAGGAAGCTTATTATGTGCTTCTTTTTATAGCAAATGTCTCCTTCATTTTAGCTTTCCCAAGCGATGTGGGACAACATGATTCCAAACAGTTTATGGGCTTAGCGTCTTTCACACAATTGAAAGAAAATGCACTTAACATCTTGCTTTTATTTCTTATTTTTTACATTTCTGTTAGTCAACTAAAAATAAACATATTTAGATAATATATATATATATAGAGAGAGAGAAATTATTATTAGTTAATTTAAGTGTTTGAATGTTTTAAATTAGCTTAATATTTAATTAATAAAGTTTTTGTACATAAATTTTATTATATAAAATATTATATATGTCTAAAAATATTAAAAAATTAAATACCGGTCCAACCGGTTCAACCACTGGTCCGACCAATGAACCGTTGAACCAGTAGCTTGACCGGTTCGATGACCGGTCCGGTTTTCAGAAGGTAAACTATATAAAATAATAATTATAAATTAATGAGTGAGTAAACAATATTGAATAACAATTATTAATTAAATAAGTAGGATTAACACATGATACAATTTACAACATAAAATTATGTTGTATAAGATAACATAAAACATGTATGTTTAAAATATTAAAAACACTAAAAATATTATATAACATATATAAGATTATGTAAAATATTACATTTTATTCTTATAAAAATTTGAATTCACCTAAATTTTTCTAAACTATTTTGTAACCGAAACATGTACAAGGATATTTAAATTTAACATATATATATATATATATATAATTTAATCTATAGAATGTGTAAAAAATTTACCCAAAAAACATGTTTAAAGTATATAAAATATTAGTAATTACAACTTACTCCAACAGAGGATTTCAAATTCAAAAGCATAAAAATTTAAACAAAATAAGTCAAATTTTGAAAATGTGTAATTTATTTGAAAGAGTCCCAACCTTTGAAAATTAATAACTTTTTAAAAGTAATCAAATTGTTTTATGTTAGATTCAAGATTTGTTGCGATTTTTAACAACATCGTTGATTTGATTGTCCAGTGGAATTATTCATTATCTCGGATTTTGTTGCAACCAAATCTTAGGGATCTTAAAAATTAAATTTTCAATTCGAATTTTGTCTACTTTATATTAAATTTATAAGGTCTTTCATTTATGTAAAAAAATATAATTTCATCTTGCCTAATTCAAATTATGTATTCAGCCCGATTTTTTGGCAACCAAATGATAAGGAATAAAAAATTTTAAAAATAATGAAAAGGAATTTTGAATTCAACAAAATTATAAATATGCATTTAATTTTTGATTTATAGAAAAAGATGTTATTGTATTTTGCCTAATTCAAATTTTTTTGTTGAGTTCGATTTTAAGGCAACTATATAACGAATAAAAAAAATTAAGTTCAAAATGTGAACAAATTTCTATGCAATAAGATTTTACCCAAAAAAAAAAAATGGATAAAATCTACAAAATCGTGAACAGTACCCGAAAGTACGTCACTTGAATTCACAAAACTCATCTAGGATGCAACTAGCAATTAATTAAAAATAAAATTAATAAACGGACGAATTTAGAATGCATTTATGGCAGTCCGTTTTTTTTTTCAACAAATTAAAAGAAAATTAAAAAATTGCCAAAAATAGAATGTAATAATTATTGTCTGACTTTTCTTCTTACTAAATCTGGTAAATAGTTAATTTATGAAATACATGTCAAATTGAAAAACATAATATTATCGGTTTCCAAAATAAAGATTGTATCTATTTCCAAAATAGGATTATAGGTTTCGAAAAAACATAAATTTCGAACTCATAATATTTGAAATATGAAATTTTGGTATTACTAAATTGAAAGAGTCCCAACCTTTGAAAATTAAGAACTTTTCAAGAGTAATGAAATTGTTTTATGGTAGATTCAAGATTTGTTGAGATTTTTAACAAAAAATCGTTGATTTGATTGTCCAGTGGAATTATTCATTATCTCCGATTTTGTTGCAACCAAAAATCTTAGGGATCCTAAAATTTAAATTTTCAATTCGAATTTGGTCTACTTTATATTGAATTTATAAGGTCTTTCATTAATGTAAAAATATGTAATTTCATCTTGCCTAACTCAAATTTTGAATTCAGCCCGATTTTTTTGGCAACCAAATGATAAGAAATAAAAAATTTGAAATTTGAAATTTGAAATTTGAAATTTGAAATTAGACTTGATATTAGATGCGATCAATTTTTTTCTAAAAAGTAATGAAAAGGAATTTTGAATTCAACAAAATTATAAATATATATTTAATTTTTGATTTATAGAAAAAGATGTTATTGTATTTTGCCTAATTCAAAATTTTGTTGAGTCCGATTTTAAGGCAACTATATAATGAATAAAAAAATTAAATTTTAAGTTCAAAATGTGAACAGATTTCTATGCAATAAGATTTTTCCCAAAAGAAAAGGGATAAAGAACTTTGGAATCTACAAAATCGTGAACAGTACCCGAAAGTACATCACTTAAATTCACAAAACTCATCTAGGATGCAGCTAGCAAATAATTAAAAAAAATAATAAACGGACGAATTTAGAATGCATTTATTGTAGTCCGTTTTTTTGCAACAAATTAAAAGAAAATTAAAAAATTGCCAAAAATATAATGTAATAAACAATATTTGACTTTTCCTCTTACTAAATCTGGTAAATAGTTAATTTAAAAAATACATGTCAAATTGAAAAACATAATATTATTGGTTGCCAAAATAAAGATTGTATCTATTTCCAAAATAGGATTATCGGTTTTGAAAAAACATAATTTTCGGACTCATAATATTTGAAATATGAAATTTTGGTATTATTAAATTGAAAGAGTCCCAACCTTTGAGATTTAATAACTTTTTAAAAGTAATGAAATTGTTTTATGTTAGATTCAAGATTTGTTGCGATTTTTAACAAAAAAATCGTTGATTTGATTGTCTAGTGGAATTATTCATTATATCCGATTTTGTTGCAACCAAATCCTAGGGATCTTAAAATTTAAATTTTCAATTCGAATTTGGTCTACTTTATATTAAATTTATAAGGTTTTTCATTTATGTAAAATAATGTAATTTCATATTGCCTAATTCAAATTTTGTATTCAGTCCGATTTTTTTGACAACCAAATGATAAGGAATAATAAATTTTAAATATTAAATTTTAAATGAGACTTGATGTTAGATGCGATCAATTTTTTTCTAAAAAAATAATGAAAAGAAATTTTGAATTCAACAATATAATAAATATATATTTATAGAAAAAGATGTTATTGTATTTTGCCTAATTCATAATTTTTGTTGAGCCCGATTTTAAGGCAACTATGTAATGAATAAAAAAAAAAGTTTAAATTCTAAATTCAAAATGTGAACAAATTTCTATGCAATAAGATTTTTCCCAAAAAAAAGGGATAAAGAACTATGGAATCTACAAAATCGTGAACAGTACTCGAAAGTACATCACTTAAATTCACAAAACTCATCTAGAATACAGCTAGCAATTAATTAAAAAGAAAATTAATAGAATGTAATAATTATTGTCTGATTTTTCTTCTTACTAAATCTGATAAATAGTTAATTTATGAAATACATGTCAAATTGAAAAACATAATATTATTTGTTTCCAATATAAAGATTGTATCTATTTCCAAAGTAGGATTATCGGTTTCGAAAAAACATAAATTTCAAACTCATAAAATTTGAAATATGAAATTTGGGTATTATTAAATTGAAAGAGTCCCAACCTTTGAAAATTAATAACTTTTTAGGAGTAATGAAATTGTTTTATGTTAGATTCAAGATTTGTTGCGATTTTTAACAAAAAATTGTTGATTTTATTGTCCAGCGGAATTATTCATTATCTCCGATTTTGTTGCAACCAAATCCTAGGGATCTTAAAATTTAAGTTTTCAATTCGAATTTGGTCTACTTTATATTAAATTTATAAGGTCTTTCATTTATGTAAAAATATGTAATTTCATCTTGCCTAATTCAAATTTTGAATTCAGCCCGATTTTTTTGGCAACCAGATGATAAGGAATAAAAAAATTTTAATTTGAAATTTGAAATTAGACTTGATATTAGATGCGATCAATTTTTTTCTAAAAAATAATGAAAAGGAATTTTGAATTCAACAAAATTATAAATATGTATTTAATTTTTGATTTATAGAAAAAGATGTTATTGTATTTTGCCTAATTCAAATTTTTTGTTGAATTCGATTTTAAGGCAACTATATAATGAATGAAAATAAATAAATTTTAAGTTCAAAATGTGAACAAATTTCTATGCAATAAGATTTTACCCAAAAAAATGGATAAAATCTACAAAATCGTGAACAGTACCCGAAAGTACGTCACTTGAATTCACAAAACTCATCTAGGATGCAGCTAGCAATTAATTAAAAATAAAATTAATAAACAGACGAATTTAGAATGCATTTATGGCAGTCCGTTTTTTTTTTTTCAACAAATTAAAAGAAAATTAAAAAATTGCCAAAAATAGAATGTCATAATTATTGTCTGACTTTTCTTCTTACTAAATCTGGTAAATAGTTAATTTATGAAATACATGTCAAATTGAAAAACATAATATTATCGGTTTCCAAAATAAAGATTGTATCTATTTCCAAAATAGGATTATCGGTTTCGAAAAAACATAAATTTCGAACTCATAATATTTGAAATATGAAATTTTGGTATTACTAAATTGAAAGAGTCCC